AAACACGAGTTACATTTGTCACTCATTACTCGTGCACCGCCTTAGTCCTCCGTCAGCAGTAGTGTTATAAGCTCATGGTTGGTTTTGGGATTAAGGTGAGTGAGTGGTAGTGGTGTGTCTCAGGTGTCGTAGTGGGTAATGCGGTGCAACAGGCTCTGCGCTGGGTCAAGGGGACGAAGCAAGTGTGTTAGGTGAGTGTGGCTACAGTTTATGGGCCACATGCGCCACACCCCAGTAGGATGAGTCTTGTCACATCGTGCAAAAAGTACTTACCTACGCAGAAGAACATTACGTAGACACACTGTACCGTCTGTCCATTCCCGTGAAGACTGTGTAATTGAGATTATGAATGTGGCACAGCAAGGAGGTCACCTATTTCTTACTTAATGTTGTTTATGGATGTGGTGAGAGGAGAGGAGGTCGGCAGTAACTGTGGAACAAAGTTAAAGTCAGTAAGAGCCGTTTGAGGAGTGGGGGGGGGGGGCACTTACTGAACATGAGAGCCCTGCTCTGGCCAGCTGTTGAAACAGGCCATTCACGAACGATACGGGAAGGTCACGCTTCACTGTACTGTACTCAGCACCGCGAGTCTACTGGGTGTGTACTTGTTTACTTGTGTCTTTAGCGAGATGGACACCATGGGGAATTGATTGGGAAACATTATTACTGTATCAAGTGGTGATGCTCTTGGTATTATCTGCTGTTTCAGGGGATTGAAGTTAGAAGTCCTAAGTGCAGTAGTAACATGAGTATTTCAAAAGCACCTTCAGGCACTACACGGACTGGTGACACAATCCTCCCGTGTTAGTCTCGTGAAGTGATCTTAAAACTAAAAAAAATGTATTTTGCACAAAAGGTATAAAAAATTACACTTGGTTTCTGTAAATAAACTGTGAAATCCAGTAGCCAGCGTGAAAACGTTGATCAGTGCAGTCTCATATAACCCGTGAATATATTGGTTTAGAGCAAAAATATGAGTGTCTGTATAAGACTTCCGCCCGCCACACAGCACAGTGTATCGGTAACTGTGGCACTTGTTGGATGATTTGCAGTTAAAAAAAAATAATAAGTGATAGGTACAGTGACCCTGCTTGTGACTCAGTGTTCACGGTGTATAGGTTAGTGGGAGGGGATGGCCGTGAGGTGCTGTGGTGTGACCGTGGCTGTGGCTTCTCAGGTTATTGAGCGTCGCTGGGAGAAACTCGGCCGTCAGTTAAAGGCAATGGTGACTGAGGGTTTCTGGTCGAGGAGCGGTAGTGGGGGTGAGAGAGGTAGGAGTGTATTGAGGGCTGTTGGCATGGCAGTGATTGATGCACACATCAGCTGCTAGAAATACATTTTGCTACACTGGTTCTCGTACTTGATCATGCTCGCCCGCCTTAAGACAATGACCTGCATCTTACATCAGTCGTTATATACCTGCAATTGATGATAACAGATTTATAGTATTATCATTGAAAGTTTATTATCACGGTGTAAGAACGTGAAAGTTAAAACTACAACAGGACTTGAGTGTTGATGGTGAAGAGGAGGTGGGTACTAGAAGGAGCGGACATATGATGTTAGGGACACTCACTTGTGTGTGTGTGTGTGTGTGACTCAAGTAGCAGCAGCACTTGAGGGACCAAGCAGCACCTCACATGCCCCGCACTCTGTCAGGGTGTCCCGGGGTTCACGTAGGGAGGCTCTGGTTGTTGAAAGGGATTAACATCCCTTTCAACATTAGTGTGGTGACGACCTGAGTGTCTGTTCGGGAGGCTCTTGTGGACGGCTGTGGTGAGGGGGTGGACGGAAATAAAGTCCACAGGAAAAAGTCACATGACTTGGTCACATTGACAACACAATATATATATGATGGCATTGCACGTAGGTTAGGTTAAGTTTTTTTTTCCGTGCCTTTTTATCTGACACTTTTCTTTTGACCTTTTTTCCTGGATTCGGTGAGGGTGGCGGACACGCCCACGCTACTTGTTCACTCAGTCGGTCTCCAAGATTTTCTGGAGGCTAATTAAATGTTTGCCACTGTGCTATATTATAGTGCTGTGAGACCAATTTTGTTTTCAGAATATTATCAAACATCTCTTATTATTTCCGTACTACAGTATACTAGTGCGAGGGAATAAGCGACAAATATTGAATTCATGGTGTATAAAGACTACAGCAGAAGGTGTAAGTAAGGGATAACAAAAGTATGGAATTTTGTGTGGGCGTCCTCATGTTACCTACCACCAGACCACACCGGACATGCCTTTGCTGCATCACATTGTTCCCTTGTCCCAGTTGTTGCCTTAATGTATCTTCCTCCTTTATCACACCTTTTCCTGGTTTATATCACGTATCTCCAATACTACACCGTACTCAAAATGACTCCAGTTGCTGTATCCTAATTGTTTATAATGACTTAGGGAGGAAGTATCATAACTGCTAAAGTAAAAGCGTGGAAATAAAATAGTGTCAAGGTGTTGAGTAGAGGCTGTCACGTGCGTCTTGCTATAAGCGAGTTAAACGTTCTGTACATGACACACTCACTTTCCTCTTCTTAAACACTTCAGTGATTATTACCGTTTCAAAATTAATAACAATGCTTATTGAATAATAGGGTGACTATGTGTCCGTCATTAAAAAAGTTTCTGTTGTACAGTATTTAAATTAAGGTAAAGAACAAAATTAACCGGCTAATCACTGTTCCTGGGAATGTCAGGGTGAAGTCACTTGTGTGGTGGTTACGGCGAGGTGCGCAGAACGTCCAGTGGATACAGTAGGTAATTATAGTCATTTTACACCTTTTGCTAGACACTTGGCCCCCATCTCACGGTTGTTTGAGCTCACGTGGTGTACTCTGCTGAATAGTGATGTCATCAGTGTGGGCGCCCCTTCCTCTCCTGTTGTTTAACCACCTGTCGACAGTGGGTCTCCTTCCCTGTTTGGCCCTTATAAAAGAAAGTGTCCAAGATCTTCACATGATATAATATTTAATAATCACACCTGTTTATTTAGCTTCTCTACCTGTGATTACTTTCTACTGTCATGAACAATTCCCACGTACACACGTACCTGCACGCTAGGTAACGTGTGCACCTGCGAGACATTTCCCATAACCTTGATGGTGGTGATATGATGCGTAGCGTTGCGTTTACTCCAAGACATGATACAGTATTATACTCGTTTAAAATCGATCTAGCGTTTTATGAGCTCCATGTACAGTACTGTAATACTGTTCAGTATATAAAAGTAACTAACGTTGTTGATAAAAATTTGCGACTAACCAACCACCTCCCCTCCCCACTCTAAAGGACAATTTACATTTGCAACCTGTTATAGGCCCCCCGCGTTGGTTTCAAATGATTGTACTGTATACATTTATTAATTTACTGTGCTGTGAAATTAACAGTTTGTGGGGCATTAGTCGAAGTATTGAGTAGCTATGAATAACAATATGTATAGTTGCTAAGAAATGTGAAGGACGGATATAAGGTCTTGCAGCACGAGTACCACACGGCGTAGTTTTGAGAGACGAGGACAACAAAAGCAGAATAAAAACAAATGATTAGATATACTAATGGTTAAAGAAAACATAAGGAAACAAGATTGATGGAAGTGTGGCAGCCGGGAGGAGTGTGGCTTGTTAGGGATGACGTTTACCAAGTTACAATTATTTCTACTGTACTGTATTTCATTTTAGAATTTCTATGTACAGTATTATTTTTGCCTTTTCGACTTAAGATCAAATCGACTTACGACCTGGTCGTCGGGACGGAACCCCGTCGTAAGTCGAGGAGAGGCTGTATATACCTGTATGTATATATATATATATATATATATATATATATATATATATATATATATATATATATATATATATATATATATATATATATATATATATATATATATATATATATATATATATATATATATATATATATATATATATATATATATATATATATATATATATATATATATATATATATATATATATATATATATACACTTGATTGCTCAGGTTTTCTGAACAATTTGTGGGAGACTTAGTGTGTCTGTTTGCAAATTAGTCCTGTATACTGAACTGTACTGTATTTAGTTGTCTTATATTTGTCAAAAGTTATATATTTTTAAAACACTTGTATTGTACTGTGCTATTTATGTAATTGACTCTTCAGAGTACAATATCCTTAAGATTGTTATCTGATATTCAACTGGTGTCAAACCTGGATATAATCTATTGTATGTTAATGGAACTTTTATACTGTATTCTGGGATTGCATATGGTATGTAGTGAACCCTCACTTTATGTGGTCAATTGAACCCACGGCGGCCCGCTTAAAGTGAGAAACGCATAAAGTGAACAACATAACATATGGGATTAATTGAAATGGAAACTAGGCCGATCCCCAAACTCCACTTTTTCAGACACAATACCTACGTTGTAGTAGAAATAACTTCTTAATTTTATGATGGTATGCACACACAATTAATAATTAAGAGAAATATCAATAATATTAGGTTTTTTAACACTTACATTAGTAGAAAAGATGGCTGGGCACACGGGGATGGGGGGTTGGTTCCGAGGCAGAGGGCAGATTATTGGCCCTCACCTGTATCAATTGTATCACTATCCACCACAGAGGCTTGCAGGGCCTCTTTGTCAAACCCCCTCAAAGTCCATATAAGTCCATATCCTCACTATCATTATCACTGACTTGGGCCGGCTGTGGTGGGTGGCTGGTGAAGAACTCGGTAATGTTTTGATGACTGGGCGACCTTGTGCGCACCCTGCTCGCGCCGCTCTCCGCGTAAAAGGGCACACACACACCGCAGAAAGCGAGCATTCCGTGTTCTGCACGGTACCTCGTAAACGTGGAAATGCGTAAAGTGGGACCGCGTAAAGCGGGGGTTTACTGTACTTCTTTTTTAGCTTAATACAGTATGTGAAGAGCTGTGTAAGCAATATCTTCCACATTTTACAAGTATTTAATGTGTCATATTCTTGGTTTCAGGTGAAGCCCCAAGATGAGTGAAGGGGTGGATCAGCAGCCAGCTAATGGCGTCAATGGTGCAGCTACACAGGAGGAGGAGGTGCGTCTCATGACTGAGGAGGAACTGGAGCGAGAAAAGATGAGACCTCCCGATATTGACCAAGATATGAAGGTTAGTTATTATGATCACCGTGTGTCATTAGTAATTACTGTGCTTTACTGTACTTGATTTGCTACTTAACACTGAAAAAAAATAAAGGAAACTTCTTCTATTCGTTGAAGATGCAAAGGCTGAGTCAAGCTCCCATAGACTTCCTGTACAGTACATTTTGTAGCTTATAAACTGGTCAGTTAGAAGTGACATTTTCTGATATTTTTAGTTTTGTACAACTGGTTAAGAGGTGGATAATACCTGGAAGTAATTCCATGTAGTTAAAGAGAAACTTAAATCATTGGATTTACAGAATTTTTTTTACAAAAAAGTTAATTGTTCTGTCGTCACACTCGAGAACCGTTTAGAGAAATGCCAAACTTTAGTGTACAGTAAACATTTTGGTTGTCTCCATGAAATTAAATGCCCTTCTTGGGTTTTATAGTAACTAGAGTGTTTGTAGATTTCGTTAATTTGATTTTTTAGAATATTACAATAACTTTTATATTATTTGGATGCATTATTGACATTTTTATTTTCTTATTGACAAGTGAAGATATTGATATTTATATCATAATTTGGTTGTACTTAAATCTTTAGGATTATAATTAGTGTATTACAGTATAACTTAAGGAAGTTCTGTACAATAATTCACCAAATACAGGTGATTATTGATAAGATGACAGCAGTGTTTATACAGTACAGTACCTTGAAATGCTTAAAATGTTTTAGTGTCTTAGTAACATAGTTGCATGTATACAAGAATACTGTATAGAATGAAGGAAGTGAACCAAGAAACTACCTAGATGCTCTTAATACAGTACCGTATCTTTTGGTTGTCAAGGAAAAATAAGCCTTAATGATGATTTAAGTACTGTACTGTATACTATACAGGGTACTTCAGTAGTTTAGTCAGAGGAATTATTATGTTCATTTAGAATTTTTTGTTGAGAAGGTTCCTCTGAGGAAGACGGTGTCATCGATTGATAAAGAGTGTCCCAACATAGTCCAGATATGACACCACTTTACTTCTTTCTTTGTGAACTCCGTAAATCATTAGTATAAACATGATACTTTGTATTATTTAAAATCTGAGCATGTAACCAGAAATGAATGTGTTAAAATTGTTGTGTTATTATGGTATTGAGACATTTTCACCCAAACTTATATTTAAAAATTAATAGTGTGTATACTTGTCAGAGGCTTGCAGTTTGATTAATTATTAGAACAATATTGACAAAGAAATGTTCATCTGGTTCTGGACTCTCCATTTTACATTCATCTGACAGGTTTATTCCAGAAATTAAAACTGTGTAAAAACTACAGTATGACATAATTGCAGGAAATGGAACGCCGGAAACGTGTGGAGAACATCATGAATTCTACCATTTTCCGCGAAGAATTGGAGAAGATCGTGGAAACACAGCTTACAGAAGGTTACTCAGGTTACCAGGCCATCCAAAATATATCTGAAATGATGGGGATCCCTTGTTCACGTGTCAATATGTTCAGAAGTAAGCATCAAGCATTCTACTTGTCCAGTAATATACCAGTGTCTTTAAATGTTGTGTCTTCTGAGGTGGTTCATAGTGCAGTTATAGTCTTGTACTGTATGGTATATATTTTTAGTTCTTAATTATCATTTTATTTGGAATGTTTCTTATTTTTGTCACACCTATTATGTTGCAAGCCCATTCACATAAAACTTAATTTCTTCAGATTTATTTTTTATTTTTTTATAGATAATTGTTTTATGGGCATAATATATATTGTACCTCACTCTTCCTGTCTCGGGGAGGGAGGGGGGTCCTTTTTCTCAACCTGCCAAAGGAGGTTCAGAATTAAATATTTTGTACCTGCAGAAAGGGTTGAAAACCTTTTTAAAAAAATTAATGTGGGACTGAAATATTTTCTTATATTAATTAAAAAACGTTAAGAAAAACTGATAACTAGTTCATCATCACCTTTTTCTGGCCATTTTTCACACTTGCATCAGTTAACTGCAATTACCTGATGGCAGTTCTCCCTGTTGCTAGAAATTTTACAGCCTCTCTTGTCAGGTTCTTAACTCTGGTATCATTTCTAACAACCTCACCCCATGCCATTCTTGACCTACCCTTGGCTTCCCTCCCCTCACGTTCAGATGCATACATCTCTTGACCCAATTGTTCCCCTCCATTTTCGCCACATGCCCAAACCATCTCGGCCCATCTTTATGTAAAACATTAACATTTGGTCACAATGGCAGTGCTTTACAGTTCCAGGTATTTTTGTAGCTGCATGTTGTTCTAGAATAATTAGAAGCTTCAAGTTCCTGTCAATGAGAGGTGGCCAGAAGCAGGAGCAAACACAGACTCTTTCTTCATATGTTGTCATCCTTTCACCTTTGTTTGTGCCATACTCTGGGCATTCATTCACAGAGTTGCTTCATGAATAACACGGAAATAGAAAACTCAGTTTGTGAAAAAGATCTAGGTGTATTTGTTAGCAACGACTTGAAACCTAGAAAACAATGTATTAGCGTTTGCAACAAGGCAAACAGGATTCTTGGGTTCATATCTAGGTCTGTGAGTAACAGAACTGCTGACGTTATCTTGAAACTTTACCTAGCATTAGTGAGGCCACACATGGATTATGCGGTTCAGTTCTGGTGTCCTTATTATAGAATGGACATAGATTCTTTGGAGAGAGTACAAAGAAGAATGACAAAAATGATCCATAATATTAGAAACCTTCCATATGAAGAAAGACTGAAAAGCTTAGGCTTACATTCATTAGAGAGTTAGGGGAGATATGATAGAGGTGTACAAGTGGGTAAGTGGGATTAACAAGGGTAAAATGGAAGATGTTCTGAAGCTCAGTAATAACGAAATAACTAGAACAAATGGCTTTAAATTAGATAAATTCCGATTCAGAAAGGATATAGGCAAGCACTGGTTTGGTAATAGAGTTGTGGATATGTGGAATAGGCTACCGAGTGCTATAGTAGGATCGGGGACGCTAGGGAGCTTCAAGACAAAGTTGGATAGGCACATGGAAGTGCTGGGATGGGTGTGAAATGGATCTGCCCTGTATGGGCCAGTCGGCCTCCTGCAGTATCCCACTTTCTTATGTTCTTATGTTCTTATAACCAGCTCCTTCACCCCCCATCCTTCCATCGCCTTCTTGGTCTTCCCCCCCCCTCTTCCTTCTTAGTCTTCCCCCTCTTTCTTCTTGGTTTTCTCCCTCGCTCTGTCCTGCCATCTACCTCAGAGCAACACACTTTACCAGTCTTGTAGAGTACCCTCCCAGCTCTTCTCCCCTCCCTCTCAGTAAATTTGTGCCGCTTGAGTAAACCTCATCTCCATGTTTCTGTTTTTACCATTCTTGGCATCCTGTTATTCCTATAATGTTCTGAAGTTGCTAAAAATTTGACTTTTTCTTCTTTAACTGGAGCTCTACTTTTGTACATTCCTGTTTTTGTCCCCCCTCCTCCTTTTGATACAGTTCACTTCATTCATACATTTCATAGTGCACCTGTTACCTGTACTGTCTTTCTCTTTTTTATTTTGCTGTTCAGTTTGTCACATATTGTTCAGATCTCAGGTACATCCACTCTTACACATCATTTCCTTCAATAAAAAAAATATAAATATATATCATTGCCCCTTGTCATCTTTTACTATTTTCATCCTTTTACCTTATGTTAGCAGTCAGTATTAGCTTTTTCATAGTACTGTATAGAACATACTGTACTTTCAAACTTACTCATTAACATTTGTTAACAAACAAAAATCAAATCTGAGTAACTAACAAGAGCAGTGCCATATGGACACAGCAACGGTTTCATCTCGTATTTCCAATTTGTTTCATGATTTACCAGACTTATAACCATCTTCATCACTCTTGCTTTTACTTATTTACTTTCCCATCCATGATGATATTTAAAAACCATGGTGACATTACACATTTTTATTATAGTTGTGCTTTTAACAAATAAATTATATTCTTATCTACAGGTAGTCAAAGTGTTATCCCCATAAATGACATTCGTGGTATGGACAGCTTCAACTTTGCTAAAGGAGAGAAGTTGCTCCGATGTAAACTAGCTGCAGTCTACAGACTTATTGACATGCATGGCTGGACACAAAGCATTTACAATCACATAACGGTGGGTGTTTTTGTGTTGTATTGGCCAGTATGTCCGTGTTTTATACATCTGACAGAATTTCAGTTTGTTTGAAAGTCAGTTATTCTGCAAAGAATTTATCTATTTTACAATAGAGATTGTACTCATGCCATGCTGCTGAGTTAAATTATTTAAAATTGCTGTTACAGTATTTGCTGAAACACAGTACAGTACATTAATTTTTTTTTAAATTTAGTAAATGGCAAAGCTAATGTGTGTTTACAACCAACTTGTAATTACAGGGTCGAATCAGCCAGGACACAGAACACTTCCTCCTAAATCCATTTGGTTTGTTGTATCATGAGGTTACAGCCTCCTCATTGGTGAAGGTTGACATGCAGGGCAATGTGGTTGAGTCAGGTTCAACAAACTTTGGCGTAAATATTGCTGGACTCATGCTTCACTCGGCCATTCATGCTGCTAGACCAGACATCAAGTGCATTGTTCACATACATCATCCAGCAGTTGTAGCGGTAAGTCAGATAAGTTTGTATAAGTGTCTGCATCTTTCTCTGATATGGGCTATGGGCATATATGTTGTGGATTTAATTTATGTGGTTATACAGTATATCAAACCCTTTAGGGGACGGGGGTTTCTCTCGGGTGAATAAAATCATCTGGTGTTAGCCAAAATAATATACCTAAGGGCTACTTTGGCCTCTAAAGGGTTAAAATCTTAGTAATCCTAGAACTTTCAAATGGCCTTTATTATGACTTATAAATCACTTGAAAGGGACCTGAGAGAGAATATTTTGTCCAGGGGGAAAAAGAAAGAAAAAAAGTGATGGACTAAGGAAGGCACATGTCAGCATTAACCCTGAAGGGCAGCACTACTGTCAGTGACCCATATTCACACTAGGCTTGCCAAATACACCATGGCTAAGAAAGAAGTATGACAAAGATGCATGATTTATCTATGTAGTAATATGTGTGTGTATGCCCAACATTAAAAGAATTGTAACTTGTATGTAAATAAAAAACATATAAAATGGCTACTAATTCTCCAAATGAGAAGTGCAAAGAATATAGGTGGCGATCAGTAATGAATAACTAAAAAGATTAGGAGTGTATGATCAAGGACATACGTTGTGATTGAGGGGTGGGGGGGGGGGCTCGGCCATGGACAGAATTTCACAAGCACTCTAACAGTGGCAGTAGTGGTATAAAAGATAAAGTAAAGAGACATGTGTGGAGGGAGTGAAGGACTGGTGACTTGTAAGGCTAACAGTTTTGGATTGAATTTTTGTGTAATAATATTAGTTACTACTGGTGTGCCACTATTTATGTGAAAGCAGCATTCCATTTGGGAGTGGAATTAGCCAGTTGTGTGTAGGTAAAGTATAGAACAAGTCCATGAAAAGGAAGCCTAGATTTTATTTATTTTTCTGTATTCTCTTCAGTGTTAGAAATGTGTTGATTCTAAGATAGGTTACTGGTAATGGTAATATTGACATAGTGGTTGGTACATTAGGGATGCTGCGGCATAAAATTGGAGATTTGAGATTATCTTGTTCAAAAGAAACCATGAGAATTTGTATCTAGATGACACTAAATGTGACTAGTTTATTTGTGTCCCGTTGAGCTATGGCTTCAAGATCTGTGGTCTGTTCGGTAGTAGTATTTAAGTACTCTGCTGGGAAACTAGAGTAATTGCAAACATCAGAGCTGTAGGGTAGACTTTTGTGTAGCTTAATGTCATCAGAAAAAGAACGTGTTCTGCTTGAAGGAATGGAGAGTTGGTCATTAGTATGGAGTAAGACGAGGATAGAAGCAAGAACTGAGTCTAGAGGTACTACGTTGTTAATGGGAAAGTGTGAACCATCCACAGCAGCCTGCACCAGCAGTAGGCCAAACTGTTTTGTTAAATCAGTACTCAGTACAGATCACTGTTGTGCAGTTTTTCGTTCAGAGTTCTGGTATTGTTGAAGTACAGCTTAAACCTGGCTAGGTGATTGCTTTAAAAGCCAGCAAGGCAAAAAAAAATGTGGGAGAAGAGTCTTAAGTTCATTTAATTCTCTTCTCAAAACTTATCATTTGCTAAAGCATCCAGTTAACACCTGTTGCCCTCACTGCTGAACTCCTTGTTGGTTTTTACAGTGACATATTTTTTCTCATTGGTTCATTACTTCTTGGTGGTATAGGTGTGTACTACATGGTAATTTTATTAGAGTACCTTGTATCTTGGTTTTATGAGTTGAAGGTTATCCTATGTCTGTTCTGATGTTTCTATTATGTATGACTTCAGTGGATACCTGATAGTGTGTCAGTTATTTGGCTGACATTCCTGAAGTGTGATGTTTAAGATAGCTTGTACATAACCTTAGCCTTTCACTATTATTACTTAAAATTAATTTGAGTGGGCTTTGTAATTCTGCCAGGAAATGAAATTGTTTATTTGAGGTAAACCTCAAGCATATTGGCTGTTGATTTTTGTCCCTTTCTTTGGGGAATTATTCCCCCTCCCACTTTTGTGTGTGTTTATGTTGCAGGTTGGGTCATTTAAGATCTTCATGTCTCTCATAACTTGTTAGACCAGAAACCTTGAGATTGAAGCATTAAATTTGGACCGTACACTGATTCTTGTATACAACACTCTTGACCATAAATACCTGCTGTTAACATTCCCTTCTGTATTTTCAGGTATCAGTCCTGAAACAAGGACTAATGTCTCTTTCACAGGAGTCTCTGCTCCTTGGAGATATATCATACCATGATTATCAGGGCATATTTGTTAATCCTGATGATAAAGAGAAACTTGCACGCAATCTTGGGCCCACCAATAAGGTATTGTACAGTAATGCTAAGTATCTTGAGTGATCATTTAGTACTGCATAGACAACAAAATATACTTTAGGAAATGAATTGTCATTTACATTTATAATTTATTTCTGAGAATATTATATTACTTCAGTTTGAGTGTACTGTATTAACTAACACTGTACTCAGTTACCTACCAGCATATTTAAGACTTATTATCTTCATGGGCAGGTTATGTTGCTACGAAATCATGGTGCTGTGTGCTGTGGTGAGAGTATGGAGGAAGCATGGTATAATACCTACCACACAATCATTTCCTGTGAGACACAGGTATGGTATAGAGTTGTCTTTTATGAGTGCAAGTACAGGTTGATGTTTAAAGCTATGTAATTTAAAGTACAGTTTTGTGAATGCTGGGGAAACATAAGATCCTCATTTTTTCCTTCAGAGATACAATAATAATGACGATAGGGAAGAAATTAATAACATATACCGGTATACGTGTGGAGTTACAGGATACTGGTCATTCTTAAGTACAGTACTGTATATACCTAAATCCCACATCACCATATTATCCAATTATTTGATCTTCCATATTTGTTCCCTCCAGTGGATATTGAACTGTTATGGTGGTACATCTGGGAGGATACAGTGGGCCTGTTAATGGTATATCTATGATGGGGGGTGTGAGCACTTTAAGAAGAGTAACGTGTGGAGTAGAGTGTCGGACCATTATATTCATTAGAAGCAGGAATAATGCTAACTGAAAGGTACATGGTTGAAAGAAATTTAATGAAGTGACTGAAAAAATTACCCTGTAACCATGTAAATTAGGATTGAGAAGGAAGAGCTTAAGGAGAATGGGAGTAATGTAAAAGTACTGTGAGGTGAGGGAAATGGGTACATGAAATTAGGAATGAAAAACAAGAAATGAAGCTGGCAGTGAAGAGACGAAAGGAGCAGATGTGTGTGCCACTAGTTTCACACAAGGAATAATAAAAGAAGGGAAGTAAAGATGATTGCAAAAGACTGGAGTAGAAGAAGAGCAGATGAAAGATGGGAGAAGGGTTGCAAAATGTTCTGGGGGGAACTGAATAGGGTGAGAAAAACCACAATAACAAATGGAAATGGTACAGTCCAGTACAGTACTTACAAATGAAAGAGGGCTACTATTATGGACAAAGAAAAAGTAAAAGGGAGATGAAATAATCTTTTCAGCAACTGTTAAATGTATTAGACAAGAGAGAGTCAGTACTGTACTTTCATGTTCAAGGTATGGAAGAGTGAAAAGGCACTTAGGTGGAAGAGTAAAAACGTCACCAGTAATTAATTCATTCTTATTGTAGTACAGGTAATTGATTCATAATTGCAATAACTGCATTATTATTTGTTATGTTATCTGCTGTGATACTCCTCTTCCAAAAGGCCTCATATATCCATCTGCTGTGTCCTTATGAAAAATGGGAAACTGTTTTAAGTCTTCTCAAAGTTTTAAATTGGGAAAGTGGAGCATGTATTAATATCTGTTGGGAAGACAAAACTGGTCCCTAGTGAAAGTAGGTACTGTACTAAATAATGTCTTGGATATAGTGTAGTGTGTTGCCAGGGTTTATGAATACTGTACTATATTTATATGGATACGGTTTTTATCTTCTCAAAAGTAAAAATCAATATGCAGAACAAAAGTTTTATATTGAATTGTTTTAGATCATCTGAATTTCAAGTATAAGAATCAGATACAAAGAAACCTGTCCAATCTTAAATGTACACAAGTACATCCCCACCCCTCTTATTTTAAGGCAAATTTGGTAGGTACAGTATAAACTTAAATAATGGGGAAAATGAGGAAAACAAATGGAGGATAGTTTGTGTTAGTAAAGATGATGTGTAGTTAGAAAAACCATATCGGGAAATAGCTCAGGAGTAAAGCCATGAACTACAAATATATGAATGAAGGCATGTTACGGTATTAAAAAAAAATGCTCATTGTATAAATACTACCCTTCCACTGAAGTGAAAATAATGATTATAATTATATGAGCTGTCTACCGAAGAGATTAGTAATATCTTTTCAATTGAGGTAATACTGCTGCTCCCATTTTTTTTAATATATTTTATCTTCTAGATGCGTATGGCGCCACTTGGTCTGGACAGCTTGATAGTAGTAAACGATGATGTTCGCCACGCAGTCTTTGACGTTTCTCGACGAGGAGGTGGAGGTGTTGACAGTAAGCAGGTACTGTACCTCGTGTTGAAACAAGCATGATGCTTTTACTGTATATTAGTGAGACATCAATTTTTCTTTCTTTTTTTTTTTAACATTATTAAAGTTTGAGTCTTGCAAAGTTTGTTAATCCACTAATGATAAATCTGAAATATCTAAAACTTAATAAAGTTGCTTCTGGCATTGAAGTTGAAGAAACTGCAAGTACCTATGATCAACATTTCTAATCTAAAAAAGAATTTTTATTAAATTAAAGATTATGGCATTAATATTAAATAGTTTGAATTATCATTTTTTAAACTGAACTAATGTTTACTGATTTAAATAGTCTTGAATGTTTTCCGGTGGTTTAATGAAGTTGAAGTCCAGTTGGTCACATTTGACCAAAGTAGGACAAGCTTAAGAGATGAGCAGTCTGCCAAACTTTTTCATATCTTCCTCACTGTCCTACAGGAAATATTATTACCCCACCTTCCTGGTTTGTTTTATTCATGTGCCTTTTATATGCCTCCACAAACTGAGGCAGCTAGTGTTACACCTTGTTGCCCATACATCCTGTAAGGTTTGTTAACATAAATAGTCCTATAGTTTTAATTAAGATTGATTTCAAACTTGGAACACATCTTATTATCATTAACAGATTCGACTACTATCCGGGTTTTAACTCGATCCATTCATGAGTCCATCTGTCTGTATATAATAGATTGTTTGTAAATGTAACTAGTTTTACAGTTTCAATTGACTGAACTTCAAATTGGAGTGCATCTTAGACATCATATACAGATGTTCTTTTGTTTAAGTGTTACCCATTTTAGTCTGTTTGTATATTTGTAAAGAAATTTTAATGGAACTAGTTCTTTAATTTCAGTTGGAATGGAATACAGTCTAAATACCATGTAACTACAGAAAGGCATTTTGTGTCCATACACCCCAAAAAATTTATAAACATAACTATTCTTGCAGTTTCAATCACGCAGACTTTGGATTCACTCTGTCATGTTTAGTTTCACTTACTGTGTGCTACCTGTTTTCATTCAAAAGTTGCAAGAACTGTTTAAAACTAGTCCAGCCTTAGTAGGATTTACTTCAAAATTGGAATTTTAGGCTGTCATACTGTATATTGTATAGACCTGCATATGTGTGTGGGTTTCCCATCTCCATGCACCCCAAAATGTTAAACGTCACTAGTCCTACAATAATAATTGGCTTGACATGAAACTTAGAATACATTCTAATCATCATTTATAAATCTGAATATGGTCTGGTTCATCTAAAAAATATGTTCAGATTTGCTTATTGTCTATTTGTTACATTTACTTGAATTTGGGTGCAGATATCCTTTGACAAATTTGGCTGTTCAGTTTGAACAACTCGGTGAAATGAAATTTTTTCTTCTCTGCTGACATGATTATTTTAAATTGATCATTTATAAAATTGTACTAGTTGCTATTTTCCTTTACTGTACAGTATTTAACAGGATTTGATATGTAAATCTATTTATTCTAGGAGGGCGGACCAGCAACACAGGGTCCAAAGGAACGCAAATGGAAGGTTGGGGAGCTGGAGTTTGAAGCTCTCATGAGATCCCTTGATAATGCTGTGAGTATTTTTCAAATGATAAGATAAAGGAAGTGAATGTGTGTGAATCATGATTTCTTTTCCAAGTGAATCTTTGTTTATGCTTCCAATTCTTTTCTCTTTTTTTTTGAGGTTTTTGTCAAGGCTGATGGGACCATATTTCTTGGTAAAAGTCATTGCATTCATTATTCAGATGTTAATAAGAATGCCAGTCTATTCTCCTCTCCTTTTTATCATGTTATCACATTACTGCAAGTGTTTCTTATTGTATTTTTGTCATCTGATTTGCTTGGGAAATTCAGTGGGGTGACAGTTATAAAGAAACAGTCCCTAAAATATCAGCATTTAGACTAAACTAAAGAATTGTGTTGTGGGTAGGATATGATGAAGTTAATTAAGTACAATTTCTTTCTAATCTTTTTTTTACCTTGTAACCCTTATGTTAACACTTCATCATAACTTAAATCTGGGGATTGGTGAAATGTATAAAGGCTTAGGTTGTGTCAGTGTAAGATTGCCATCAAGGGAGTGACAGGAGACCTTACAGAGTGGAGAAGAATTGTAGGTGAAAGTGTAATAATGAATGGAGTTTAAAGTTTTAGAGATGGGTCAAGATTAGTTAAACAAAATTTTTAGAAAAGAAACATATATATATATATATATATATATATATATATATATATATATATATATATATATATATATATATATATATATATATATATATATATATATATATATATATATATATATATATATATATATATATATATATATATATATATATATATATATATATATATATTTGATTCACTTTGTCTCAAGGAGCAAAAGTGAAGGTTTATGACTTTACTATATTTAATTTTATCAAAGGGTTGGGAATGGTACATAGATACTATATTGAAAACTTTGTAAGTTTTAAATGATTTCATGGTAGAAGAATTTAATATGAAATATTCTCTGACAGGGTCTTAGAACAGGATACATCTACCGACGGCCTTTGATTAAACAAGATGCACCAAGGCAGCAGAGTGATGTTGCCCTTCCTCCCACTGCCTCCAACTACACTCATCTGTTTGATGAGGATGACATTACAAGGAGGTATGTTACTTTTGAAATGTATATTCCCTTGTACTATATATATTAAAAAATGGATAGTTGTACTATATTAAACCCTTGGGCCTTTTCTCTGCTGAATAACATCGTCTGTCATTAGCCAAGTGATATATGAAGTGTGTCGCCCCATTGTGATGAGGTTAAGATCCAAAAGAATCTGGATGTACAAATGCAAGTAAGGTTACACAAAAAAGAAAATAGATAAAGAAGCAAAATGCATTTTATTTTTTTTATTTTTTTTTCATTATTTTAGCTCTTATTTTTTATTGTATTTGTGTAATATTGAGTGAAGTAAACCATTCCTGGAATATTTTGCTTTGCACAAAATCATCTGCCTTGGTTGCTCTATATCACTGGTACCCAACCTGTACGTGGAACTATGTTGTGGCGCCCACAATGGTTTATTGGAAATTTTTTAAATATTTGGGATTGTTTGTAAGAGAGAAATTAATGAAAATATGTAATAACTGGATACAACTTTATAGTTTGAGAGAGAGAGAGAGGAGCTGTGCGCTTGTCCCAAGTCTGTTGTGTACAGGATGTGTATATTTACCCCAGACCTTGCACAGAGAGAGAGAGAGAGAGAGAGAGAGAGAGCCAGTCTTCTCACTGGGGTAAATACATACGTCCTGTCCGAGAGTAAATGTAAAATGTATGTAGCTGGTAACAGTTAGACGTGTAAAACTGCAAATAACTGTAGAGTATGAGTTTTTTTTTTTTTTTTTTTTTTTTTTAAGTACAGTAGGTCCTACGTTATGGTATCCTCCACTATATTTACAATGATAAATGTGGCCCAGAGCCTACAAAAGGTTGGGGACCACTGCTCTATAGTATAGCATTTTTTACATCTTCACCTCCTGTTCTTCAAAACTACTGTATCACACTATGAATTTTTCTCAGCCCCTTGAAGAGGATCTTGGATGGCCGTAAGACTCAGGACAAAACACGATGGCTGAACTCGCCCAATGTCTATCAGAAGGTGGAGGTGCTGGAAACTGGCACACCGGATCCAAAGAAGATCACCAAGGTAGAGATAATTACTACAGAAAATCTAGGACACTAACATGGAGCTATTTCCCGCTGGTTCATGGCCACGCGTCCTTTGATGTTTTAGTTGCGTATTACAAAGAGGAAGGAATAAGTGTCGAGATGTAGCTAATGATAAGAATAATTCCACGACAGATTATCCATTTCCATTTTATTGACCTCATAAATATATAATTCTGAAATAAACTTTTATCACAAATTGATTTTAGTTCCAGCCATGTTTTAGGTGTAATGCTCTAATGCAGTAGTGAAGTGCATCATTGTGTAGAGAAGTAGATCATCGAGTATGTTTACAAGTTTCATCAGAGCTGCTCTATCATTAATCTCTGTTGTTTTTGTTGTACTGCCTTTAGATTGGTTGATTTTTAACTGAACATTTTATTGTTAAGTTATATTTTTTTTTTTAGTTTTTAGATGTTAAAATTTGGTACTTGTATTAAATTTTTTTTATTCTATATACAGTATTCTAAATTGAACTTGAGATTTGCACTACGTACGTGACATATGAACATAATCAAGGGAAGATACAATTGATCTTGTAATAATTCGTGAATTTCAAGTCATTTTATTACAGATATATTCCTCTATTTATGAAAGGGATTTGTCCTTTAAAAGTCTTTTGAATACTATACTGAATTTAGTAATAGTAAGATGTGCTGGAGGGTGAAATATTAGTACAGTATGTGTACCCTACATAATCTCTGGTGTGGGTAAAGGCTTCTAACCTGTATGAGATTTCGTAAAAGTGAAAATGGCTTTCATTTACTATTGAAAAATGGTCCCTAATTTGTCGATTTTGATAATGTGAATTTTCGGATACTTAAAATTTGTAAAAAGAAAAGGGGGAATAGCTGTCATTTCTATTTGATTTAATTTGTATACAAATAATTTTATTGTTCCAGTGTTAATTGTAAGACCTGATTGGGAAACACTGAAGATTTCATTAGCTTTTATATTTTTACTTTGTGCAACAGTTTATGAGAATCTTCCAATCTACCAAAATCTCAATGGATAATTTGACATGGAATTTGTTAGGTATAGGTTATGTTTAGTAGACAAATTCTAGAGGCGCTGGTTCAAAAAAGCTATAGTATCTCAAAAGTTTGTGAATGTGTCCATTGAAAATTCTTATAGGTGTATTGGTCTGAAAATCGGGTTAATGTAGAAGAAATTAAGACATTTGCTCATTTATGCATTATACACTTGCCGTATATTTGTTTGTTGAAACAGGTCATACTAGTTTTAGTTATTTTATGTTTAGGGTCACAATAAAAAGGCTGCTAAAAGCTTGTGGATAAGTTATATTTAGGGGAATGTTTTTTTGATATGCTCACAACAGATCTTCCTTCCAAAGAGAACTAAAATAGATCCTCTCAAGAAGCAGTCTCTTGGTACACATACCTCTGGCAGTAAAAGCTGCTGACTTTTAATTGGTGGTACTTGTGACCATTTATGACCCATTTCGCCTGTGATGGCCCAAGTGTAGGGCCCAGCGTTAATTCTGGATGGCTAAATATAGTAATGTTTGACATTATGTCCGTAAGGTTTGTGCAGGTAATCACACTTACCCTGGCAATTTAAACTAGCTGATTTCCTTCGTTCATGGTAGGACACCATGCCATTTGGCTTGAAATGGGTTTTCAGGATTATTTTTATTACTTTGAATATATTTATTTTTAATAAGATTTCTTTGTTATAGTAACTGAATGTCATCATAATAGGTTTGCATATAAGTAGGAGACCTGACATGAGACTCCACATCCACTGTGTTTTTTCATGTTGTGAATATTATTACTGAAGAATTTACCAAATGTTTTTTTACTAAGTTTTTTCTTGTGTAACTTTTGCCACAGGTGGAGCAGTAGTACTGTACTGCATGATTTAGGGGAAAATGGTGATGAAAGAATACTTGGCATATGTATTAGTTATCATTTGAGAACTATTGCCTTGTATTTTTGTATTTCCAGTATCTGCACAAACAAGAGACACAAAGCACAATGCTCAAGATGCACTGCCTATAGACCTTTTAGGCCATTTAAATTTTTTGTGAGAGATTATTAGCTGTTAAATATTTTACTTCTCTCAAGATGGATTGCAAGTACAGGTATCAGTTTTTGGAATTCTGATAGAACATCAATTTATATCAAAATTAAATGTAGGAAGTCTTCACAATCTTTAAATGCTCACAAAGTTTCATGTTGAAAACCCAGGTAACTCTACTCATCTCAGTGTGTGTGTGTGTGTGTATGTATCTTTTTATCAGGAGTGATGCTTTTAGGCTACTTTACTCCTCGTAGATTGATAGACAGATCAGCAGTGGCACTGTTTCTTTAGTTATATTTATTATTGATATTTTGTTGGTGTTTTCATTTTTATTAATTTTTGTTTGCTTAAATTTTACTCGACCATCCATTACAGAGTATGAAATGTTAACAAGGTACTATTACTATTACCTTGTGGAGTAACATTCATTGAAGTACATGTTGTGAGTAATATCATTGAACTTTTAAAAGTGACCAAAATGCCTGGTAGCTTAAGCTTCATGATATATATATATATATATATATATATATATATATATATATATATATATATATATATATATATATATATATATATATATATATTAATTATTATCTTTTTGGGCAACACGGGCACATTGCTTTGTGCAAACAGGTATTATTTCTTTTAAGTGCATCACTGTTATGTAAATGACATTCAAAAGTTGTGATAACCCAACTAATGGAACATTTGTGCTAGGTCTAGCAGCTAGTGATTTTATGTCCACAAATCTGTTAGTGTTTTTATAAGAACAACCAAAGATTAAATGCAGAGTTTGGCAAAGCTTGATCCAACGAAGTGTTTGCTTATTATTAGTGTTTCAGTTGTTAGGGTTAAGGAAGTGTTATTATTACTCTTACCAGCTTTGCAATAGTAGGATGGTATTAATTTAAGGTGGTTGCATGTTTGATGAATATGTAATCAACTAGAAATCTCACAAGTGAAAGACAACTTTTAGTCATATATTTGGCAGACAGCTTTAGGTTAAGCAATAGGTTATATGAATTACTTTTCATTTTTATTATTATTATTCCTTCCCTTCAACATTTTACTCAATAAACTTAAGTTTTATTAATACTGGAAATTGCCGTTTGATCATTCTTGCCACTATTATGATTTTTCATTGTACCTTAAACTGAATATTGCATTTTAGTAATTCCCATAACAATGTTCATAAGGTTTGATTATTTGGGTTTCAATTCATTTTCCAAATAAGAATTTCCGGCTTGCCACATCATTTTGGTTATCTGTTGTAGGATTCACAGCTGATTCTTTCCTCACTTGAAGTTATCAGCCATTTTGTGAAATTTATTGATATGTTGATATGCATTGTATTTAGTCATGATGGCAAGAAATTCGTCATTTAGATTTATCAGAATACATGAAACTAAATTTTGCTGTTTCAGTGTACATTGGTAAAAACTGATATTTGTTTCTTCTTGTGGGGTGGTAAAGATTCTCTTATTATTTCTTAATTTTAAAAGTCACTTGTTTCTATGATACAAGTTCTGGCCAAGGAAGTAAATTTGCTTTTCATTCTAAAACACTGTTAAGATGTGAGCTTTATGTTATCTCAATGTTCTTGTTTGCCATGTCAGCCATAACCTTCTATTATGTGCTATGGGAATTAGGTAAAGCATAATATTCAGTTCATTTACATTCTTCAATTGTTTGGAAGTTGTGAAGTTGGAAATGGTGTTGCTAGAAGAATTATGTATATTCTTGTTTCATTATTGTCAAGAATTACTTTTCATACCAT